TATTTGTACACACGTTGGTGTGAAAATATGTGTGGAGAGGGACTGATGGGTATTGTCGCCTTTGCTGCAGAGGTAAATATAACCCAGCGGCAGCCCATAATATACGGCGGTGGTGGGAACTTGAGTGCGTATTAAAGGACTTGCAATCGACTTGGGGGCCTCGCCATGGTGTGGCGGCTAGACGCTCCCTCGCGGATCGGAAATCTGGGCTCGGGTTCTGACAGTCCCGGACTTTTTTTTTTTTTTCCTCTCCTTTCAAAAATAACCTTGGCTCCCAGGTCGACTTAGTATTGAGTGGGTACCAGGCAAGGTCCCGGGAAATACAGGCGGCCGGACTGGTGCTGACAAAATCACCCACCAAGTGCCGATTGTCTATAAAATATAGGTCTAGCCCAGTACGCCTGAAGGTGGAGAAGCTTTACTGACTCAACTTGGGGTATTGTCTAGCTAGCGACTTGTTAATCGAACGGCTTAGTACGACTTGTTTTTTCTCTGCCGACCGCCGTGAGGTTTGGTGATCAGCGTCACAATTTAAATCTGTGTCATATACAAGTTTGTTAGTTACATATCCCTTACAGGACGTTGCAGAACCAGCCCTAGGATTCTTTGGCTACTGTGGTTTTTGTAGGCAAATTTTACTTTCTATAGTTTGTCATTGCTTTCCGAAGGAGCAACTCTCAGTACCACTGTCGAAACCAGCGGAGGAAATTCTGCTTCCAGATCGCCCCGCATCTGGAATCGAACCCAGCACCCCGGCATTACAAAGCGCGTTCGCCACGCCTAAGACACAGCCTATTGTATATAACAGACCAGAATAAAGTCTGTTTTGATTTATCAGACTTTGAACTATTCTGTATAGTCACGTACGACTCGAGCTATTAAGAGCTCGAGTCAGACGTGGTATATAGTTAAGTGAGATTTCCCCAACTGCCATTTCCGGTTTTCATCCATAAGCAATTCCCCATGCCCGACTTGCAAGAGACTTGATACACGAAGTAACTTGACAAAAGACTCGATTGGAAAGCCCTATTGGTGACACGAGACCTGAATTGGGACTTGGTGACAATGACTTGGGACTCGACATGGACTTGAAGATGACGACTTAGTTCAACCTCTGATATACAGAAGTTTAGGTCGCATTTCATTGGGGGAAAAGGGGGAAAAAAGGGGGGGGGGGGGACAACAAAAACAGGTTCTGAAACTATCGGGAATGAAAAGAGAGTTAGTGGGAGACTTAATAAAAAGATAAGCATTTGAACTATTTCGATTTAAAAAAACAAACTACTAGAGGGAAGGTCAAACGCAAGAGAGCAAAATGTAGACTCGTGGGAAATTCTTCTTCTCCTCCTTCTTCCTCTTAGCGTTCACTGGATGTAAATTCCATAGGAAGATCTGGTTGTTCATCTGCTTCTGGACTTTGTGGTGTTATTCCAGAACTTGAGTTTTTCGTGCACATCCGGTGTACAGATCTGACGTATTGGTTATGCAGGCCTTTGGTTCTTCGCCTCTGTGGCAGATGCACTCCGACTTCGAAGGGCAGGTTCTTCATAGACTGTCTCTGTTATCACAGCACGCCGGAAAGTTACTCGACCCTGTGCTAGCGTTGCTGCCTGGTGCGTGAACGTGTATTACCCAGGGTGTGCTTGATATCCTTTGACCATTGTGTTCCATTCGATTTTGCTTTTCTTCCAGGAATCCTACCAACAGTTTATGTTTTCCTTCAACCAGTCTGGTGTCTAATATTAAACTATAATCACGGATCTCAAAAAGATAGCCAAAAGCCTCACCCGAAGTCGTTAATCACAGCTACTTTTATAGCAGATGTCTAACTTCCATTGTTCAGTTCATCGCATCAGATAGTAGAGGAAATTGTACTCCAACGGTGAAATTCGGGGCGTTTCACCGGAAAAGCCCAGGGTCATGTTAGGTCAGCTTTATCTGTCGGTTCAAGCATTGTGTTATCTCGGCCTGTACTGTAAACACCTTAGTCGATCTATTCGAAATAACTGCAAAACGCAGTCTGTAACCATTACTTTGTTCAGCAGTGATGCGAACCGTTGACACACTACATCAGCCTAACCATAGCTCGTTACCGTCTATCGGCTAAAGAAGAGGCATGTTTGCGAGTAAACAAGAAATTATATTAACCGAATCTGTCTGCCTCCTTGCGCTTTATACATTTCTGCCGTCCCTTCCCATGACACTAAGAAGAAAAAATCGCCCAGTATTTAAGTTAAGGTCTGCCAGTCAGACGAAAACTTAAATGTTCGTGGTTGGTCCAAACTTTTAAATAGTATTTTGTTTTACCTTATTTGTAAGTTTGATTCAGGTTCTTTGTATTTGCATTTAACGTCAGCATTCTACTTAGATTTGTTACCCATGGACTTTTATCTACAGTAATCCAAAGGGATGGTTGATACAGACAACATCACCCACCGAGTGCCGATTGGTCTATATACTCAATGTTTCTTTACAAGAAGAACTTTTGTGTTATCGTCCATTGGCTCACCGGTAGACGACTTCGTCGTCGGTCGGGACAGTATTTGAGTCTTGTCTCCTTTTATCACATCAACACTGCAGGAGTCCTTTTCAAGGCTCTTGGTGGCGTGTTTGCTAAGCCGTTTTATATGGCGCACATAACTTAGTCACAAGTATAACCTAAAGCTCCCCCTTCGGGGCGATTTTGTGTGTGTCGGGCAAAGCAGTGTACAGCCTTTGTTACGGCAAGGTTTGCAACGCGTTATGTTAAAGAAAGTCACATAGCAGAAACTGTTTTAGAGGCGTCATATGCAGATTTCACCTTCAGTAAGTTCATAGCATAAGGGGGAAGGAAACACGCCCCAAAGTCAACATTAGGCCGTACTGCACGAACACCTCGGTCCGACCACTAATAGATATTCAACCTCCAGACGGCCTAATCAGTAAGACGATTCACTAACATTAAGAGACCCGAGGTACATTTTTCTCAGTATGATGCAAGTCTGCGAAATGCTGCCCTTTATACATTTTCAAACTGTATGTTGATTTTGCTGCGTATGCTGTCCTCATATGGTGCAGCCTGATAGGGCACTAGTTTTGTATCATAGCACAGCACGGCCCTGCTAACCATGCTGCTGCAGCTTCTGTTTATTATCATTTAAATAAGTTGTTGTTCTTTTTTTTGCGTTCGTTTTCGTATGCTCTGATCAGACCATCAGGTGGGTTGCCTCTGTGAACTCGCATGTCAGTAGCAGGTCCTTCACACTTTGCTCTTGAGGCCAGGTGTCTTTTCAAAGTTGTTTATAGAGTAGACAGGTCTGCAGAATGTGCTCAGGTGTTTGTAGTCCTGTTTGACAGTCACACTGGGTACTGAACAATCTGTATTTTATGCATGTGGTAGTTGAGCCTGCAGTGTACTGTTCGTAGACGGAAAAAATAAGTTGTTGACCCATTGTTCATTTTAAAAATCATTTGCGTCGAACATCAGACATGACCGTAAGTGCTCCGATATCCTCCTAAGTATGTCTTAAAGTGTTTTTAGGCTATCAACTGTCATTCTGTTTTGGTTGATGTAACGACAGGTGGCTCCCCGTATGGTTTTTCTGTCTAGCAGCAGTTGGTACACCCAGGGTATGCAGTCTGTTCAGTGAAAAATAATGTCCCACAAAACTGAACGCCTCACAGCGTTTAGTCTCTCATGTTACCTTGTTGATGTCTCTCCTGTCCATAGATGGCCCATTCCTGATAGTCGCACTGCCAGCCAGGGCATCTGCTCTCTCATTGCCTTTCACACCAGCATAACCTGGGACAAAAAAATTTTAATTTTGCAAAACGCTGCATGCTGTATCAGATGGAGCCAGTGTTTCCGTATATGCCCCACCTTGATCTTCTGTAGCATGTTCATTGAGTCGCTGAGCAAACATGAATTTGTAACATCCCAAGTTAACTCATCATTGCGAAATATCACATGCTTGTCAACCCAATTTGTCCCTTTCTGTACTGTTACCCGAAGGCTTGGCCACCCCTGCGACCCAGAGTTGCACTCATGATGACACTCCAACAGGACAAATCCCAGATACCCATTCCAACCTTGTAAGTTATAAAGAGGGCACCTGAAAGACTACACTAAGTACTACCCTGGTATAGTCTGCAGTTCTGAACGGTAAGGATCGTGTTTTGAAACACTGCTGTAGAACTACAGACTGTAGAGAACATCTCATAGATGATAATCAAACGAGAAAATCTCAGAAACCACATTCAGACACAACAGATTTGGGGCATCTTGCATTTAGGAAGCACTCCGCCGACCAATGTGGGCGGGCTGGAGACTTTGTACAACGCTCGTGCTACAAGTGGGTTTACTGTGGAACAAAACATCACATTGAGACTATATCGTGTATTCCCTGTGTGGGTTCTGGGGCCAAATTGTGGGTGGGGGAAAAAGGGGGGGTGGGGGGGCGCAAGTTATAAATGTTGACTAATTGGGGGTTTCCTTCGAAGTCGGTGCTAGAGAGGCAAGGAACCAACAAATAAGTCAAATCTGTGAAGTGGATGCACACACACAAAAACGCAAGTTCTTTAATAGGATTTAGGTCCAGAACTATGCCGGAGTTTACAGCCGGTGAACGCAAAGAAGATATAATGTTATGAAGCAAGGGGTGATCTTACCCAGTAAAATGACTCTTTGCCACGCTTTCAGTCGTATTGGGCAAATAGGGCTAGACCAATCGGCACTTGGTGGGTATTGTTATCTGCAGCCGTCTTTACTTCCTAGGACTGTACCTGGTACCCACTCAAGGTTGGGTCGACCTGGGAGCCAATGTCACTTTTGAAAAAAGTCCGGCTATGTCAGGGTACGAACCCACGACCTTTAAATCCACAGGTGAACATCTAGCCACTACACCATGATGGCTACCTGACCTCACCCAGATAAACCATTATTTATAACAGTAAAGCCTTGCCTTGGTTCCCGTTTTCACACATAGACAATGTTGATGACTGCTTGTTTCTTTCTGCCTCAGTTTGAAAGCTCTCTTGAAGAGGGAGGACAAATGCCTGGCTTCTTTGATCTGTTGACAGTAATGGCCATGAGAGTGTTCATTTCTGAGAACGTTGACGTGATCATCTTAGAGGTCGGCAAGGGAGGTTACACAGACAGAACCAACTTTGTACGCAATCCGGTGGTGTGTGGTATCACTTCCCTTGCCCTGGAACACACCGAGTCGCTGGGCAGCACAATTGAGAAAATTGCTTGGCATAAAGCTGGGATAATTAAGGTTAGTAAATTTGTAACTAAATTCTAAACAAAGCTGAATGTCAATGAAATATTACTTGTACAATAACGTAACACACAATTTTTAAATATAAGGAAGTAACTGAGCTGTGACTAGAAGGATCAAGGAAGGAGACAAAGATAAACATAGAAAAGTCAAACGTTTTCACTGTAGCCTTTATCAGTGAGCACCACAAAAAGAAGAAGAATCCTAGACACCAGTCCCCACATGTGAAGTCACGTGCAAAGCTATAATGGAATATATGCTCCCACTTACTTATGGTTCAACTTACTCTCACCCAGACTAAATAACCAATAGTGAGAATTTTAGTACTCCCTTTGGATATCCAAAAGAGAGTAATGCTTAAATGTTATGTAGAATCTATATTGCTGTATGGTAGTAAATCATGGAATTTGAGTGCACAAGTTAGAAAGAACTTGGAGGTGACAGAGATGTGGTTTTTGAGATAAATATTTAGTATCCCTTAGGCTGCCAGAGTAACCAAAGAGGAATGCTTGAAAGAAACTAATGAAAGCAAATCAATGTGTACAACTATAAGGAAAAGACAAGCACTGTTCTTTGGTCATGTGATCAGGAGGGGGGAGGGTGGCTTTGGAGAATATTGTGACGAATGGGAAGATCAGCGGTAGAAAAAGGAGAGACTTATCGAGAGAGATGATGAGGAATGGATTGCGACTGTGGCACAGAGGGATGACCGAGATTTGTAGAGATGCATGAACGCCTACGCCGATCTGCAAAGCATGTGATGATGATGATGATGAAGCAGATATTAGCTTTCCTTTTTTCCCTCTTCAGTAGCTTAGTTCTGTAAATGGAAGCTACTGTGGTGTTACAGCTACCTGCTCGCCTAAGGATCCGAAGGTCATGGGCTCAAATCAACCAACTGGTAGCACATCTACCAACTGATTTGGATGTCTAAAGGTCAACAGCACTTGGAGTCTGCTGACAATAGCACACATAAAGCCTTAGCCAGAAACAGTACCAGTCTAGGCTGGACTCCCATCTGGTCCAAATGACTATATGCTATCCTGAATTATGATGTGGTTGCTTTCAGTTATAATTCAATCTGTCAGTCAGGTGCCATCTACAAAGTGATGGCTGGCTGCAATGGATCTTCAACAAACTCTTGTCTTCCCTCCTGGTTGTACACTCTGTAACTGCTGTTTGTCCATCTAGTGATGATATCTTTCCATTTGTAGTGCTGTCTGCATCTTGCTTACTTGTCTTCTTTTGAATATACCAGTGTTTACATCTGGGTGTTCACTGATATTTCACTTGTTTGTTTATACAATTTATAGACTGGCAGGCCAGTTGTTACACTACCTCAAGACCCCAGAGCTTTACAGGTCATACTTGATATTGCCAAACAGAAGGCGGTAAGGCTGTGTTTATATTTTAATTGTGTTTTATTATAATGTAAGTAAATTATAATGGTAATGACCAGTGGATTTGGTGGACTCGGGGAGCTGAGAGAAAAGATAAAATTAACATATAGTCAGACTGAATGTTATTAAAAATCGACACCAAAGCACTTGGGGCATTCCTATAAAATCTCCGCCCCTATCTTCAGCAGCAAGTGCAGAGTTCCAACTCCGATGGCACCAGTATCAGTCTGTTTGTATACCCGCCTTGCCCTGTCCTCAAGTGTTAGCCAGATGCACTGGTCACGCCTCACAGCACCATTCTTCTCAGAAATCAACAAACTACAACTGGCACTATTAGTATTGGAACTGTGCTGGCTGCTAACAATGGGAACAGAGTCTTTATAGAATAATTGTGGGTTCCATAAAATCTTTTGTTAACTCTTAATTGGTATATTGCTGTGTGAATATAAGAGATTTAATCTTGTCTGTGAGAGAATTTAGCTCTTCTCACAGCCATATTGCCAGCACTGTACCAGTGAAAAACCTCCATGGTTAAAAAATCTGTAGGCAGCACCAATAAAAGCTTAACAAGCTGAATGTGGATGATTATGCCAAAGATGTTTGTGAAAACTTTGCAAAATGAGACTGTATCTTTCCTCTTATATCTTCGCACCCTGAAGTCATAAATGGACTTGTGTGGCTATTCACCCTAAGAGCTTTGCTGGTCATAGTGTAGCTAACAGACTTACCCAGACTTTATAGACTGTTGACATGTCAGGGGATACTGACCAGACGAAATAGGATACATTGTCTTGTAGGTAAACTGTAGGCTTGCTAAGTAAGATTCACTCAACCACAGACATGACCCCCCCCAAAAAGTGTAAAGTAATACTCTATATAATGATGTCGTAAGTTGAAAGTAAGCCAGACCATAATGATCTGAATATTGTTCATTTGCTGCCAAATTGACCTGACCACATCTAGCCTGTCATGCATAAATTAACCACCCATTGGTAAAGAAACAGCCAGTCTGCCTGGCTGTTCATTTCTCACCACTCCAGCTACCCGGAGAAAATATCCACACAGAAAACACTAACTACCAAAGACCTCTGAAGTGATGCTGGCATTTTTAAGTTTACCTGCAAATATCTACATTCCTTTGACTGATGATGTTGAATCTTCTAGGCTCCAGTCTACATCGCTATGCCCCTGCCTCAGAGCATACTTGATGAGTACTGCTTCACTCTGGGTATCCGGGGACCTGTTCAGGTACAGAATGCTGGTCTGGCCATACAGTTGTTTCGAGCCTGGGAGACATGGAAAGGTAATGCCTTTTGCTATTTTCATACTATATAAGCATCTGTTTCACACCACTGGGGCATCAAGCATATGGTGCTTATATTGCACAAAATAACAGTCCTCTACAAAGATGAAAAGGTACAAACCAACCATATGGAATGTTCCATAGATGCTTTATTTTATGAACCATTTACACAAAGACACATTCATTTGGTTAAAATCCCTTTATACTTGATATTTTTTTTTTTCAGGCAATAACATTTTGCAAAAACGCCAGTGATGGCATCTGCAGAATGAGTTTTTTGTTTGTGAGGTCGAAGAAATAAACTCTAGTGTCTACAGTGAGATTTCTGTACTATGAAATAGAGGGTGTGAGTTTACTGTTTACGTTACAAAATAAGATTTCTTGGGTGAGAAATAAATGCTGGTTCATGTAGAGTAATTTTGTTTTCTCTTACTGAGAAATAAAGATAGTTGCCAAGCATTTATCACACCATATACAAGCTATGGTTTACTTTTCACTTCCAGAAAATAAACTTGAAGAGAGTAAGCAACACTTCTGTATTGGTGTTTGAGTATTTAGATACTTGAAAAACTTGAACTGATCACTGATGTCTTACTTCCGCAGGAGTGACAAAACCAGAGCTGGTGAATGGTATTACAAAAATATCATGTGTCGAGGACATTCCCCGCCTGCACTGTGGCTCTCTGGAAGTAAATGTTATCAAAGGTATCACTTTGTGTGTTACTGACAGCATTTTATGTTGAGATGTTTTCTTAGGTTGGTGATGGATTTGTTTTTGCCAGGGGCAGAAATAATCATCCTCAAATGCATAGTTCGCGGTGATTGCACTGGCCTTGCAGCCCTAAATCCTAAGGTTCACCCCCCCCCCCCCCCCCCCCCCAATCCGTCATACATTGCCCTAAAGGTGATAGCTACATGCAGTATGATATTAACAACCTGAAAAACTTCCGGTTAAAATGGACGCTAGACAGCGGCGCTGTTCGGAGCGGAGGCAAATTTTTTGCTTCTGCCGGACGGTGGCCGAAGTATTTTTGCTCCATTTGTAGACTGGATATAGTTTCGTCGCCCAGCTTCTGAGTTGAATGCATGGCGTGACCCTGTGAGCTGCGGATTGCATTTGGAATGTTTTTTCGACTGTGACCAACGTGGTGTGAATTGTAGATTCAGAAAATGTCGCGATGCCTGTCGTGCAATGCTGGCGGGACCCGTATTAAAATTGATCGCCCGGGCAACTGCTGATCTGTTGGCGACAAGTTCTGCTATCATCAATGATGAACTACATTTCTAATGTTGGACTATTTGTGTTAGCACTTCGGATGGCTACCATATGCGTTAATGCGAGTGTATGCTAGATATGCTGAGACAGCAGTCTGTCAATCTTTCCACAAGGGACTGTGATAAACATTCTGGGTGTTTTTCGCTGGCACAGGAGCGGAGCAAAGATGGGGCGACCCGTTTGCTATGAAGCTGAAACTAAGACTACCAGACTACCAGACTACCAGTAAAAGCAGTATTTATTAAAGTAAAAGTAAAGATCTCTGTTTATGCCTTAGGCATATAGGAAGAGCACCCCATATTTTTACAGACCAATCGGCACCAGGAGGGTGGTGGGTAATGTGGTCAGCATTACGCCCGCCGTCTTTACTTTCCCAGGACAGCCATCCTGGCACCCATTTTAGGCTTGGTCGACCTGCGACGCCCCATACCATGATAAAAACCCAAAAGCAGTATTAGGTGGTTTTAAATAATTAGGGCACAGACAATATGGTGCACAATTTATTACCTGTAATATTTGGCTATATGTGGTCAGTTGCATTACTACATCAACATACAGTGAAGCACAAAACAAGAATCCCCTTTAAACTGACATACACAATATTAAGTGCTTATTTAAAATGTTGTCATTAGATTACATAACAAAATTGATGTCAGCAAACTCAGTATATACCAAACATGCTCAGTTTCTCAGTTGGCAAAAAATAATTTAAAAGTTATAAAGAGTTGAAAATAATAATAAATATGGGTTGCCTAGTGCATGATACAGATAGTTATGATACATATTGCAATTATTAATATGCTGAACTATACCACTAAAGATGTTTACATCGTTTTTACCACATCATGCTTCATTTCATGTTTCGTACATGTTCAAAATTTAAAATGCGAATAGTAGTATATGATGTGATAATTATGTTCACTGAGAACTACGGAATGTGAACATTATATATGTGTAGTATTTAATGGGATAATTATGTTCATTGAGTGTGAACATTGTGTGTAGTATATGATGTAATAATTATGTTCACCAAGAACAATTGAGTGTGTGAACATTGTATGTGTGTAGTATGTGATGTGATAATTATGTTCACTAAGAACTATGAAATGTAAACATTGTATCTGTGTAGTATATGATGTGATAATTATGTTCACTGAGAACAATGAAATGTGAACATTGGAATCTGTTCTCATTAACAGGACTCTCAAGTTGCTTACTGCATGGACGGACAGAAATCATTCGCCGGGATAATGTAACCTACTACTTGGACTTTGCCCATACCCAAGAAAGCATGGAGGTATACAAATAAAACTGTTCTGCTTCTTCTTCTTTATGAATCACCAGGTGTAAACTCTGGAGGGAAAGTTCTGGCTGTTCATCCTCTTCTTAACTATAGTCTCCTTCCTGAAGTTGAGTTTTGCTTTCACATCCGTTTTACAGATCCGGCTTATTTGTATGCATACTTTTTTTTCCTTGCCTCTTAGGCAGATGCACTCAGACTTCAAACGAACACTGTTCTGCTTCAGTTGCATAGTCTGCAGCAAGTATTAGGGATCCTAACCCCTGAATCGTGCCTGTTATTTCCTTTTCCATGGAAGTCTATGTTGCTTAAATTATGTTTGAAAGAAGGCTTGAAGTCAGCTTATCACAAACATCAGAAAGAGACAGTCCTCTTTTTTTATCATTTTGATAGAAGGAAAATTGAACATGTTGTGACCACCGGAAAGATCTGTAGAAAAAGAGAGGTAGGAGGACACTGTGAGACTATTCTTGACAACTTCGTTTTTTCATGGCATGGAGAGGTGTCAGCACAAAAACTGATACATGCTTTTGAAGATCGCAGATTGTCAAGAGGTATAATCGCTAAGGCCATTCGGCAAGGCACTTGATGACGATGACATGTCTTGTTGCCCAGCTGTTTTAGCTTTCCAAATACATTATTCTCTGTCTTCCTGTACTTCTCATGCTTAGTATTTTTCCAAGATAAGTTTGATTGATCTGTTTGTCCCCTCTGGGCTTCTACCTAAAGGATGAATATACCATGCAGAGATTTAAAAATCTCATTTTGGGTGACAGACCAACAAGGCAGAGACTAGCACTGTTCAACTTCAAAACAAAGTTATAATGAGAACACCCAGGTGCACCCTGCAGTCCTATGCGGGTAAAGATGCACATGGCTAATTATTATGTATACATCTTCTATTGGGAGCCATGGTAGGGTAGTGGCTAGCTCACTTACCAACTCATAGATCCACACAGTTCAGATCCACTTTGAGGAGGATTTCTTTCAAAATTGACATTGGGCTTTACAAGCCTGCCTAATGAGTATTGACAATAATAATAATTATTGGTGTATAAAAGTATAGAGTAATCATAAACCCAACACACATTGACAAAGAGCCCTTTAACATTATGTAAGCATACAGCTTTGCTATAATGTGGTAACAATATTTTTTTCATTGTCCCCACCATTTGTCTAGAATGACTTTACTCATTACATTGTGACTAGTATGATGCTATCTCAGTATACTTTTTTTATATTACTGCACTGTTTATACATTAACATTTACAGTTGCTGTTGTCATGTATCTTGATATACATCAGTTCTTCTATTAGTTGCACTGATGTCACTATCTTACTTGAGCGTCTATCAACCCTTTTAGTAGATCTTACTACTGTACACATTTCTTCTTCTCAGAAGCTGTTTTCAACTGTGTATATAAAAAAAAAAACCGCACGCACGCACCCGCACACACGCTTGCACACTTGCACACACACACACACACACCGAGAGAGAGGGGGGTTTCAGCGGCGAATTAGTTAAGCTGTTTGCCTTGCGCTCTGAAGGTCATAGGTTTGTTTCATGGCTGCGCCATTTGGTTCAGGAGTGTAATTTTTACGGAGACCTCTGGAGATCATCACCAGAGCTATAGTGTTCATACTTTATGTGATGCTCTCAACAAATAGCTAGCCATTCTGCAGAGAGAGACTGAGCCATATGTGATGAAACCCGGTGTAGTGAGATCCATCCTCTCGACTATAACCGTTAGTATTTTAACAATAAAAATCAAGAACGGTAATAATATAGTTTAAAAAAAGATGTTGTTCCCCTTATAGGTTCTAGTACCCCTTTGTGGGGGAAAAGCAAGAATAGACCCACTGCCTCCCTGAAATACATGTCATAAGAGTTGACTAATTATGAGTTTCCTTTGAAGTCGAAGTGCATCTTTTTGAAAGCAAGGAACCAATAGTCAGCTTGCGAATAGGCAAGATCTATAAAACGGATGTACACGCAACACCCAAGTTCTGAAACAAGACTAAATACCAGAAATTGATAAACAGCTAGAACTGTTTGCCAGAGTTAACAGCCGGTGAACACAAAGATGAAGGAGAGATAAAAAGATGTGCTGTTAATAATTTCAGCTCTTGAATGCGTACTTGTATCTTAAGTCTGTATTTATTTGGATCCTATTTTTTTTATTCTGTTCACTATAGCATTGTACAGCATGGTTTGAAAAGTCTGCTAATGCTGAAGCTGCCACCCTGAGGTAATAATCAGTTCTGACTTAACCTTTCATAAGTTTACAAGTACAAGTTTTTACCCTTGTCATTGCACTTGCCTTTATGTGTGAGCTGCGCCATGGTACTGTTGTGTGTAATACATAGAAACGTACATTGCTGGGAAACCTTGTGGCCATTAGAACAGAATGACAGATAAATTTACATGTACTGATTTTCACTGGTAGAAATAAGTAGAGATTGGAGGATAGATACACTAGTTTATGCACAAAAACATGCCTGTCCTGACCTTCCTTGGCATGCTTTTTGAGTCAGTTACAATCATGATGTGTGTCGTGTTCTCTAAACAGCGGAAAGCTGCAGTGACCACCTCCATCTCCATTCTTAAGCTGAATGTTGTAGTATTCAAACATTTGAAATTTGAAAATTTCAAATTGTAGGTCATCAGGCTTTACTCACCCACTAGTAGATAAAGACCCTTACTGTGGGTGGAACTTGTCTAAAGAAATATGTATTGAACAGTTAGATGTGTACTGACTGGCACTCATAAGAGGAAGTGAACCATGCACAAATGCCTACTCATAATATACACAATGGTCTCTGATATGCTCACCTAAGAATGACATACAGTCTGTAAAAGAGGAAGACAGAACCAGAACTGTTGCAATATGAACAGGAATTTTTAACTTCGTTACAAATCCATGCAATTTTAAAACTCTAATTTGATATAAACGACTTAAGAGGAGCATCCAGCTGAGTGGTTACAGTGTCCGGCTCTCACACAGGAGACCTGAGTTTGACCCCCAGTAATGTCATGTCACGATCAGAAATAAACATCCTAACCTGCACAGTCTATGGTGACAGCACTAACCATGCAGCCATAATTCCTCAGGCATAAGACTGCCCTAAAAAGTGGTAAATGCAGACAGTAGTGACAGTATCGTAATTAACCAGGACAGGATTCTGCCTCACTCATGTAAGACCAGGTAAGGTAAGCACACTTCCAGTTTTATAGTAAACATGTCACCCCATAGTTGGTCCATTCCTGTGCTAATGAAAACCACACAGAATGTCCATCACTGTCCCTTGTGAAAAAAAAAAAACTTGTTGACATTTAATTCCTGCATTTTGATTTTCCTGACAGTGGCAAGAAGATTGCTCGGGTCCTACAGTTCTACTGTCTTTCCGTGAAGGATCCTCAGAAGTTGTTGCCAATTCTAAAGGTAAATCTTTCTCTGTATTTATATTTACATTTTGACTTCCGTTTTCAAAATGGCCGATAGCAGCAGTGTTTATTTTCGCTTGCTGTCAGTTTTCTCAGATTGTTATATTTCCTAATCACGGACGGCTATTTTGTGCTCATTTCCAATGCAAGATACTTTGTGTTTTTCTTGGGAGCAGCATATATTGTGGTTTTGCTGTGTTGGGGCGAGATAATGACCAAATTGTTTCGGCAGCCTCGACCATGCTGCTTTCACAATGTTTTGATCACGGCAGCCCACTCGGGAAGACAGAATCTTGTCAGCAGGGGACTGCAACTATCTAGAGAGCAAGCTCGATAAAAGCTGTTGGCAGAAACAGAATGTGTCAACCATTTTTTGAGTGGGAAGGAATCGACACATACGGTTAACTCAATGGCTGTGGCCATATTTACATTTTAAATGCTGTTTCCCTTGTGGGATTTAGGGCTAATGTCTGCAGTTATAAGACAGTGAAAGTGATGCTATATTATTGGACACATTCCAAGAAGAAACGAACAGAGAATCACAAGAAACTGAAATGAGAAATGAAGGAAACTAGGACGTCCAAGAAAAACCCTAAGGTGAACTTTGGTGAGAGAAACCAGAGGTACTGGACTGGAACCCCTTCTTGATATTGAAGTTGTTGCACAGAATGGAGAAACAGACTATGAGCTCTATGTGACATATAATGGCACAACATGACAATGAATGAATTAAATCACTCTTGTGGATTTCAGAAAGTTAGTGGTCCAAGAGTTGCACAGTAGAAGAGATGGGACCTCACTAAGTAATATTTCCAAACACAGTAGTGGGCAGGTGTGGCCGACACCTGTTGCAGAGAGGTCACACACACACACAAAATAAAAGGTGGTAAAAATATTTGAGACATCCTGGGAAGCTGTCTGAAAACATGATTTAATGACTTAAGGATTCTTGTATACAGTTTACATTGACCTGGCCACCTGTGCTTATTGTGTAATTCTAATGAATAAAGAAACATTTATTTGAGGCTTGATAATTGTCAGAAATTTGTTGTCTCATTTATATATATGGAGTCGCCGTGGCTGAGCGGCTAGACGCTCGTTGTCTCATTTATATATATGGAGTCGCCGTGGCTGAGCGGCTAGACGCTCGCCGCGGATCGGAAGGTCGTGGGTTCGTTCCCTGGCGGAGCCGGACTTTTTCTTCCAAAAATGACCTTGGCTCCCAGTTCGACCCAGCCTTAAGTGGGTACCAGGTGCAGTCCCAGGAAGTAAAGGCGGCCGGCGTGATGCTGACTACATCATCCATCTTGTGCCGATTGGTCTACAAAAATATAGGTCTAGCCCTATACGCCTAAAGGCGTGAAAAAGGATCCTTTATATATATATATATAAATATATATGTTTCGAGGCTTGATTTTCTAATACAGCGTGGTTTTCCCCTTGACTTTCACTGTTTTTTATATGGTTTGACTCCAGTAGCCTTTGTCTAAAGAGACTTGCCCTGCAGGGCAGTAGGGAGGAGAGGTTTTGGCGCTTCATACCCGCCGATGGCCATGTTGTAGAGTTTCGAGGTATTTTATAGTTAGCTGTCCCACCAACTCGCCTCTTCTCAATGACCATCACCTGTTTTGATCCACTGCCACTTATTTAATATATTAGTGGCTAACCTCTATATCTAGAGACCTTTTTACCATCCGCCACCTGGTAGGAGCCTGTCCTACTACTAGGCATGTTGTGACCACTGGAAAGGTCTGGAGAAAGGAGGGATAAAAGATTCTTGACAGTCTTGTTGCATGGCATGGAGATGTGTCAGCACATGAACTGATACATGCTGCAGGAAGGAGATCACAGATTATTGAGAGGCATGATTGCCCACGCTAATCGGCAAGGCACCTGATGATATATATATATTTCATTCATTGTCGTTTAAAATAAAATATTATGATGTTTCTTAGAGTGTGAACTTCGATGGGGCAACATTTTGCTGGTGTAAAGCCTCTGATGAGGAACCTCTGGGGCAGCATTCAGGTAAGGATTGAGAGTGGAATTTGACTATCTAGGGTGTCTCATAAGTTTCCATAAATATGGGGAAAATATGTGAAGACTATCATACAATAAGTATTATGAGTCATGTGACAAAAATGTTATTGAGAATAATTATGAGAAGAATAAGAAACAAGATTAAGCCAGAAATTAGTAAAGAACAGTGTGGATTCGTAGAAGGAAAAATTACAAACAGTGCCATATAATCCTCAGGACTCTTTCATAAAGAGCTATAGAAGTAAAAAAGATCTGTACGTATTCTTCATTGACTGCATGAAAGCATTTGATTGTATGAAACATAAGGAAATAATCACACTATTAGAGACATTAAACATTGATGGAAAAGACTTACGAATTGTAAAGAACATTACTCTATGTATTGACAGCAAACAGCAGCTATAAGAATTAGTAACCATTTGCCAGGGATTGTGGATGATGGGCATAACATATCCAGCCTACATTATGCTGATGATACTGTCTTGATAGCAACACGTCAGAAAGAACTGCAGAGATTGACAGAAACGGTGTTGGCAAAAAGTGATAAAATGGGCCTCAGTTGAATAATGAGAAGACAGAATAGTATCTTAATGTATAGTAAAAGTCAAAGGTTTTTTTTAAGGACAAGTACATAAATTTTAGTATAACATCCAATGAAAGATGTATCACAGAGATAAAAAAATAGGATAGAACAGGCCAAAACTGCATTTTACAAAATGAAAACATTTTGTGCAATAAATCCATGTCATTGGAGGTTAGGAAAACAATTCTCACATGCTATTTAAAACCAGTTTAAACATAGGGCTGGGAATCATGGACAATTAATAAGCAAGCCGAACAATATCTTGAGGTCTCGTGGAGGTGGTTTTATAAACGAATCCTTAGAATCCCTTTAACAGCTAAGAAGAGCAGCCTAGATATTTTGAAAGAGGTAAATGCTCAAAGACAACAAACATCAGAAAGAGACAGTCAGCATTCTTTGGTCATGTTATGAGAAGAGGGAAAATATAACATGTTCTTACCACTGGAAAGATCAGTGGAAAGAGAGACAGAGGAAGACAGTGTGAGAAGATTCTTGACAGTCTTCTGTCATGGCATGGAGGGGTGTCAGCACACGAACTGATACACACAATTGTAGATCTCAGATTGTGGAGAGGCACGACGATAGATACAGTGCAGACCGCTGAAGATGATCTTAGATGTGGTTAATTTCTCTTGTGAAGAACCATTTTTCTTTATCCGCGGCAATTTGTGTGTGCTTGAATTCTTATCTGGACAAGAGGAATTTCTGATAAAAAGAATCATTTCAGTGGTCCCTGGTGAGTTCTCTTATCAGGTCTGCACTGTACTAAGGTTCCTTACTTGCCTCACATTGACATGGATTATTTTATGTAGACGTGACCCATTTCTGTGATTTTCTACTATTACTGGTTTTCTTGTTATTCAATATTAGATCTGTTTTTCACATTCTCCAACCCCTGTACCTATCATGGTTCTGTGGCTCCTGCTGACTTGATGCTTTCAGGATGTATATGAGGTATCCACTTCACTATTTAGAATAAGTGCGCCTTGGGTTTTCACACTTTGCTGAGGAACTTCAAGGCATCCCACTATTTTAGTAGACAATGTATTTGTGCGCACATGCACGCTTGCCCAATAAGTAATGCCTGCATTAAACTAATGATGATAATATTTATTATTTACAATCATACATTCAAAGGCATCATACGAGTCATGGCAGATGTAAGAGAATACTGCAAAACAAAACAGCTTTTATATGTGTGTATACATTAATGACGTATTTGTATATTTCTGTTCATTATTTATTTGTAGATCAGCGGTATGCTAAAGTGGCTGCGGATGTTGAGAATGCCCTTGTGGGGAAGATGAAGTCGGTTTGGGAGTCACTGCCGAATACATCACAAGACCTGTACAAGCATGGTGAGCCAGTGAATGGACAAGAACATTTCAAACGATACTACCCGCACACAAACGGGCCCACACCAGCCCGCTTGAAGCTGGGCAGTCAGGAGAGGTTAAATTCCTCCAATGAAAATGAAACTGATCACATATCGACCAATGGTTATGATTCACATCCAAATGACACTAACTTATTAGCCAATGGGGATGGGGTTCACATTGCTGACATGGATTCTGGAACCGCAGAACAAAACCCTGCTGAGTTCAACATAATATCACTGGCCAGCGAGCATGGCATTTACTTCCCCAACTTTGATACTGCAACTCAGTCTGCTACCGATCATAAGCATTCACTGACCAATGGCAAGATCAGTCACAACCATGTGACTGACAGTCACGGGTCACCGACATTTGACTGTGCACTCCAGGCTTTGGTGTGGGCCACACAAGGTAAGGATCACTCTGTAGCTTCATTCATGAAAGCCCCGCAGGAGTTGTTACCAGTTGCACCCCTGCCCATGAGAGAAGCAGACCATATTCAAGTGTTAGTTACGGGTAGTTCAAAACTTGTTGGGGTTGTGCTCTCAGTTCTGCTCCCCGATATGAATGATTGAATCTCTCTTGTTGTTTAGGTTTAGTGCTGCAATTTCAAATTACGAAATAAATGTTGATTACTTGAACTAATGACCAATGAACCAATTAGAATAATGCTATGTTGTAGGATGGATCTGTTAATGATGAAGATAAATGATTCCATTGTTTGATTTTTTCCATAAGTTTTGTTGTTTCCATGTGTTTTAAATATGAGTCACTTTGAAAGTTTGTCTTCTTCTTCTTCTTCTTATTTTTCTGCTGCTGCTGCGCCTCCTTCTCCTTCATCTAAATTTTTTTTTATCTTCTCTTTCCTCTTAATCCTTGCTGGCTTTTCCTCCCAAAACTTTCTGGCAAGTATCATGAGAAATTAATCTCATACTTTGTGTATTTTTATGTCTATCACTTGTGATTTGTTTTGTTTTTCCTTTGAACTGTATAAATTGGATCTGTTGTAGCCTTTGTTTGCATCAGCTGTGAGTTTTCCTATAATTTTTGTTGTTGTTGAAGTGTCATAAAAAGTAACCTGTTCATTTTACATAATTGTCAGTGTTCCTAGTGTCACAAATATGTGTACTGTTGAGACTAAGCGTTTTTTAAATTTACAGCCAATCAAATACATCTTGTACAAATAATGGAATGGAAGTAATAGTTAGCAATGGAGATAGGTCACCATAAAGAAAGGTCAGCATGGAGATAGACCAGCATGGAGATAGGCCAGCGTGGAGATAGGTCAGCGTGGAGATAGGCCAGCGTGGAGATAGGCCAGCTTGGAGATAGGCCAGCGTGGAGATAGGTCAGCGTGGAGATAGGTCAGCTTGGTCAGCTTGGATATAGGCCAGCATGGAGATAGGTCAGCGTGGAGATAGGTCAGCGTGGAGATGGCTCAGCGTGGAGATGGGTCAGCGTGGAGATGGGTCAGCTTGGAGATAGGCCAGCATGGAGATAGGCCAGCGTGGAGAAAGGTTAGCGTGGAGATGGGTCAGCGTGGAAATGGGTCAGCGTAGAGATGGGTCAGCGTGGAGATGGGCCAGCGTGGAGATAGGTCAGCGTGGAGAAAGGTCAGCGTGGAGATGGGTCAGCATGGAGAAAGGCCAGCGTGGAGAAAGGCCAGCGTGGAGATAGGCCAGCTTGGAGAAAGGTCAGCTTGGAGAAAGATCAGCTTGGATAGCAGTCAGCATTTACAATTACACTTCTGCACCAGTAGCTGTTATTATATCAATTCCTTAACCCATGACCTGAGAGTCAGGAGCAGCCTTTCATGTAGTTAACACTTACCCTCATATACAGGTATTAACTCGTCATGACTTTAATATGCATTTAACAAACAATTAATAAAGATACATTGAAACATCAGTTTCCTCACTGATCTTTAGTTGCTGAATTGCTAAAACAGCCTATATTCTTTGAGTGAGTTCTATTATCACTAAACTATAATCAGTGCCAGGCTAAAGTGACTAGATTAGATCCCTACTGTATCAAATGGGTCAGCTTAGTAGGCTCTACAGTGGTCCCAAACCTCTGCAACATTACAGGAAAATTAAATAGCAGACTAAAAACAAATTACAACTACAGAAGTGCCAGTTGCAGGAAAGACTTTTGAGGAAAATAAAACCCAGATCAAGGCATTTGTAAACTTGACGCAGGGGTCTCTGCAGTCATAGGTACATGAAATTAAAGACCAGGGACTGGGAACTTTGTGCATGTTGACAGCTACCTCAGAGTACTCAACATGTGATGCAGACATGCTCTCTACATGCAGCTGGAGACACTAGCTGGCATTCGGGTAGACACCAAGCTGTATTGGTCAGCAGAGAATGAATGTGTCATTCTACAGCCTTTACAGAGGTCTGTAACCTTTTCATCTGAAAACTACTGGCAGGAGAACAAAAAGAAGAAGAATCAGACTAAATGTAATATCTCTGCATGATCATATAGCATGACTGATATTTCAGAATAAAATTCTTTTGTGTAAAATGTTTGGAGACTTCTTTTGGAAACTGTAAAACATAGATGCTGAAGTGCTCATATGTTTTCTTGTACAAGTGTACTGTTTTACGGGTACTAATATTGTGTTATTTTCCATGGTCTATACCAGACGGGCAAATTATGACTGCCTGTTTTTGACCTCTACCTAGACTTTGTTTTGACTTGTTTCTATGTGTTCAGTCCAAAACTGTTTCCCCTCAGTATATTTATACTAAATCACAAACTTAACAGATCTGTGAGATCATCTGTGACTAAACATAATATGGACATAAGTTATGATTGTATATGGTAGGTTATGCTTGGGAGTCATGGCATGATAAGCACTGTTTGTTCTGTATTAGTCAAATGTTGGGAGACTCCAGGAATATTCCTGACAATAAACAGTTAAGGAAGACACACAATAGATACTGTAGTATACACCTGACGAGATACAGCGGAATATGCCAGACAATAAATTGTGCAATCTATTGTTTGTGTCTTCTTTGTTCAAATTTACAACGAGGAAACATTGCTTTGAATAAATAGTCAATAAATTGGTTACATGTAATATAATAGATACTGGTATTGCAAGGTGTCCAGTTGTCCAGTTTTGGAGCCATTAATAAAACATATATGACTGAATATAGTTAGTTCATGTTAACAAAACAAGTTATGTTTGTACTGCACTTTCAGTCCACTAATGGGACCAGTCTTTGAGTAACTTGTTACAGAGTAAACATATAGGACAATTTATCATGAGAGGAAATTTGTGTACTACAATTAATAGTCCAGTGTTGGATGGAGCCTGTAAGTGGATCCTTTTTGTTCCATATTTGATTATATTTCCGTGTGAGTTCTGGGGCCCTATTATCGGGAAAACAAAAATAGACCCACTGCCTACCCAAAAGCATGTCGTAAGTGTCGACTAATTGGGAGCTTCCTTCGGAGTGCATCTGTCTGAGAGGCAAGGAACAGCAGTCTGCATACAAATGAGTCAGATCTGTAAAAACGGATACACACGCAACACTCAGGTTCTGGAACAGGACTGCAGTCCAGAAGTGAACAAACAACCAGAACTTTCCGCCGGAGTTTACAGCTGGTGAACGCGAAGAAGAAGATTCTATTTGCACACTGAAATACATTTGGTTTTGGCCCATTTTTATATAGACTTTTTTTTCAAAAATGACCTTGGCTCCCAGGTCGACCCAGCCTTGAGTGGGTACCGGGTGCAATCCCTGGAAGTAGAGGCGGCCGGCGTGATGCTGACCACATCACCCATCTTGTGCCGTTGGTCTATAAAAATATAGGTCTAGCCCTATATGCCCTATACGCCTAAAGGCGTGGAAAGGGTCCTTTACTTTTTTTAAAAACTATAATCTGGGTTGACTGGGAGCTCAGAATAATTTTAAAGATCAGACTTAATTGGGTTTCAATTCTGTGACCATGTGGGTTCCAGGAGAGCATTCTAGATCCTTCTACTACAGATTTTGAATCACATCTGCTCTTCAGCCTCTGACCCTCTGCTCCCACAACAACAAAAATAAATAAATAAAACTAGTATGTAAAGAAAGATAACTACATTGCTAGGGTTAAAAGGTTCCAGGTACTAATGCAGTAGAGTACATGTTATGAATATTTCACATTATCTACACAGAATGAATTTCTTTGCTTTATGTACAATTTTTTATAACCTGTTTGAATGAAAAAGTGTTCAAAAATATTTTTAAAATATAAATTTGATTTACAACCAGTTTGGCTTACAACCTGTTAGTGGGAATGGAACTTGGCTGTAAGTTGAGGAGACCCTGTGCATGTGGAACACACAGAATTACCATCTGCTAGTTTATGACAGGAAATGCTTGTATATGCACTATAAAGTCAGTCCAGTATAAAGTGTTGTGACCTGTAGGGAAATATGTATGACAACATATAGGAGGAACACAATATTAAATGTCAGTATAATAGGATGAGTCCAGTGTTTTGACCTGTGGGAGAAATATGTGTGACAGTATATAAGAGGAACACAATATTAAATGCCTGTACCATAGGATGAGTCCCATGTTTTGACCTGTGGGAGAAATATGTGTGACAGTATATAGGAGGAACACAATATTAAATGTCAGTACAATAGGATGAGACCCATGTTTTGACCTGTGGGAGAAATATGTGTCACAGCATATAGGAGGAACACATTTTTAAATGTCTACCATAGGATGAGTCCTATGTTTTTACCTGTGGGATAAATATGTGTGACAGCATATAGGAGGAACACACTATTTAATGCCAGTACCATAAGATAAGTCCCATGTTGTAAGAAATCAGTCATCAACCATCAAGTGTCTGAAAAGTCAGGAACCTGTAGAAATTACCAATTTAAAATGTAGTTTAGCTTACTTCTTCTTCTCACCATCCTTCTCCTTCTTCTTCTTCTTCTTCTTCTTCTACTATGTTTGCCCTTAAAGGGGGAGTTGCCATGTTGGGTTATGTTTTGCAGCTAGGCTGCAGTATGTACATTTCTCAGCCCAACACATCCAGTTTTAAGCAGGCAGCTATATACTTGCCTTGTATGACATGCTTGTTGATGGGGCAATGAGTCTGTAGCCCCCCTCTCCCCAAACTGTTACTGCATGTGCTAATCATGCCCTGAATACTTAATAATAATTTCTCACCACCGTCCTGTCTCCATCCTTGACCACTAAAGTTAATCTCTGTAGGCTTGCTCATTGTTAAAGCCATGTTCCACCAGTATTTTAACTGCTGGTTCTATACAATATATGTTAGACACCACTGTCTTTGTGAGCAGCTGAAGGAATATGTGTTAACAGTTTCACTTGGCTGGAAAAATGGTTGTACATTCCATTAAAGTCACAGCATAGGATTTCTTGGTTTTGTTGTTTTCATATGTGAGTTCTTGTGTGTGTGTGTGTTTGGGGTTAGGGGGGGGGAGGGGGTGGATGTAATGCTGTGGCTTGGATTGAAATAACTGACAGGAGATCTTTCATAAATTACGAATTTCAGAGCAACTCTTATTATTTTACTGGTCATTCTGGAGGGG